GTGTGAATACATGTTCCAGGGTATTTGCTTTACAGTTGCGGTGAAGAAGCCGAGCTTCTTTACCAGGCTCGCTCGCAGCTGGGGTTTAAAACGTAGACAATCGCTGCAGGATTATTTATTTATTTTTTATTCCCCCCTCTCCTCGCGCTCCCCAGTATCTGCAGCTTTTCAGCAGATCAAGGCTTGGTTAACTCTCCTGAGGAGCTCTTGAGCCAACTTTTCCTTGGCAAGCCGTTTGAAACCCAGTCCTCTTAAATCCTGCTTCAACTGGAGAGGATCGCTGTGAGCTATTGATGTGATGAGTTCTGGTGCAGTCTGAAAAAAGCAACAGAAGCACCTTTTGTTTGAAATCGGCAGAGAAAAAGAAACTTCATTTTCCCCCCTTTTTCTGTAGAGGTCTGTCATACAACACCACGAGCTCTTCCTTTATTTTCAGTGATGACTCACTTTCTATTCAGTGACGGGAACATTAATAAATGTTCCCAGAACAAATGAGATTTTGCGGGCTGCTAACCAGCCACGCCCCTGAAATATCGTCAGATTCATGTCAGGTCTACATCGTTTAAAAGAAGGGGGAAAAAAAGCAATGCCAAAACCAACAATAAGTGAAATGCCCCAAAGCTTTGCTTGTTCCTCAGAGCCTTACAGCTCCATTCTTGTCCACAAACATTGAAAACACATGCTTGATCCGAGCCAAAGGACGTGAAATAAACACATAACAGGTGTTGGATATATACTGGCCTGCTGGCCCACAGGGGCAAAAATGTTGTCAGTGTCACTGTAGTCAATTTGATGGTAACTCTGCTTTGTGTTTTTTCTCTTTTGCTCCACAGATTTCCACAAGGCCGCTCCTTATGTGGTCACCGGGAGCGTAGATCAAACGGTAAAAGTTTGGGAGTGTCGCTGATTTGGACCTTGAGAGGATTGGACCACAACCCGACCACCCAGGCGCTCCTCCTGCCATCCCACTTACCCTTTCACCTCCCTCCCTCACCTTAAACCCGAACCATCTCCTCCCTCCTTCCCCTCCACCCCCGCACATCTCGGTCCCCTTCTGTCGCACTTACCGCCATGGTTATTTACCCATTGCGCGCTCTCTGGTCCAGTAATTTTTATTTTATTTTTTTTGTCCTTCTGTGTAAATTATTCCTGGATGTAGATCGAGCTATTAAATGTTACACAAAAGTATTCTTGCATGGTAATCCAAAATTGTATACTGTAAATTTACATGACGTTGTCTAGAAGTACCATAGGTTTAACAACGGGGCTCGCGGAGCCTCCACCGACCAACCGAAGGCGGATGTTTTTGACTGGGTGTGAAACGTAGGGCACTAAAAACCGATAATTTAAGAAATGACAGTGTCTTTATGTGTAAGATTTATTTTTGTCTATTTTTTTATTTAGGATTTTTCTTTTTTCCCCCTCTCTCTCTCTCTCTGTTATTTCTCTCCTTCACTGTCGTAGTCTGTCGGTGCCTAGCTCGGTGAAACGTTTAAGAGACGAGGCAGGAGAAACGTATATGTGGGGCTTTGTTATTGAAATAATCTGTAGCTTTATAACATCACTTCTCAAGTGTGCATACCATTTCTCTTCATGTGGATCTAGGTAATATTTTAATGGCTGTATATACGAATGTTTCAAACTGTGTCCTTGGACCTCGGGGGCTTGAAAACGGCTTTGTACTCATTGTCACGGCGGCACATGAATTGCTGCTGGGCTTTAGATAAATTATCCCATTTTTAAAATGCGTGGCTTTGCGAGTACCTACACTAAGCTTGTTTTTTCTTCTTTTGTTTTTTGTTTTTTTTTTAAAACAAGAAGCCTGATGTAGCGAGCGAGTTTCGCCGTCAGTGAGCGCCCTGGTCGCCGAGCAGACTTTGGGGATTACACCCGTTTAATCTGAGTAAAGATCTCGGGCGTGCCTCCCTTTTTAGGAGACGTTTTCCCTTCACCTCCTCAGTCAGACCCGGCCGGATCTCGTAGCCACGTCTCTCGCCTCCTGACCTGGTTGGCTGTGGCGGGGGGGTTTGGAGCACCAAAGGAAAGTCTGAAGATGCTCAGTTATCCCGCTTTGCCCTCTGAAGGCTTAAAAAAAAATAACACAGTGAACTGGCTAATACACGACACGGAGTCAAATTGAGCGCCCCCCGGGTTTCATATCTGGCATGTGCAAGGATCTGTAATTTTTGAGTTATACCTTGTGTATAAAGAAATTGGTTTTGAGTACTGAAATAATACAAAGAAGCCAGTTTTCTGTGAAAATAAATGTAAATTTAGCTTGTTATGAATTAAGAAGCCTGGCAATTTTTTTTACTGTCGCCGTAAACTGATAACCCTAGCCGGGAATGAGGATTAGTGAGGAAATGCCGGATAACTATGGAGGTCGTCTCGTCTGGACGGTTTATACTTTAACTCTTTACCCTTTGAAAGCCTTCTGGGAGTAACCCTGGAAACGCTTTCCTGAACTGAGCAGTTTGTCATATTTCAGACCTGCTTTACAACAAAATGACTGGGTTTGTATCTGCAGCTATCCTTGTAAAAACCCTGAAACTATTCTGATTGTCAAACCACGTCTTTATTGATATATGCGGAGGTGTCAAAACTCATCTTAAAGGGTACAGAGAAAGACAACACTAACATCCGAGGGTCTCCACAGACAAATCTCTCCTGAGTGGGTTTCCTCAAAAGTTCTGATTTTGGATGAAATGCTGAAGAGACAACCATTCCACTTCCCTCATAGGACACAAACATAATGAAAAATAAATGAAACATCTTGCGTCTAGCTGTAGCTGCCAAGGTGATTCGTTAATCTTGCACATCCCTGTGTTTTTGTTTTGTTTTTTTCACTGAAGCTTTGTTCATTCACTGGTGATCAAAGACAACATTAATGATGTTGATGAAGCGTTTAAATTAAATTTAAAAACAAAAAAACAAAACACTTATAATTTCCGATTAGCCGTGTCATTCCGGTGCATCTCTTGGCTAATAAAGAATTCCACTGCTTTAACCGATCTTCTTATCTTAGCTTCTTTGCCAAGTTTTTCCTCTCTTCCTGTGTGTAACTGGATGTGGTGATCTGCTGCTCAAGCTCTTGCTAGTGGCCACTGTGAGCCTAAATGTGACCTGGTGATGTAGCACCGCTGCATGTAAGCCTGCGCCCAGAGGCGGAGCTGTCGGAACGTGACGTTTTAAATGATTTGGTGAATGATTGACTTAAAAGAAATTGGCGAATGAGTG